GTTTTTCAAACATCTTTAATAATTCCAAAATGTTAAGCATTAAACTATCTCTTCTCTTCATAGTTTATATTTCTAAATAAAAAGATTTTTTTAAAATTTGATATTTTTTTCGATTTTTTGAAATTAGATTTGTATAACCTTAGGATTGATGTAGCTACTAAAAATAAGCTTTACTGAATAAAATAGAATAAAAACTTTGGGTCACCATTTAATACTAGCCAAACAATAAATATGTTAGGGCGGGGCACAAAGGGCCAATTTGACTTTGAGCAATTATATTGTGAAAACCAAACCAATTATATCGAAACAAATAACAGTAATCAAACAAGCAAATATCAGACTATGTTCAGCAAAATTGCCAGTCAATTCATCATTGTAAAAATGTTAAAGTTTGCTGTTTTCAGAAATTTGTAGCCTGCTTGTTTTTGCCCCTTAGACGGGGTAAAATGGGACGACCAGGGACCAAACAAATTCAATGTGTTATTATTAATTTTAAAAAGATTTTACGAAATAATAGCGACATTATTCAACCGATACAAAATATAAATTTCTTGGATATACTTTTTACAGTAAGAATACTGTGTATAACCTTGGTCTAATATTTTGTCAGAAATATTTATCAGCAGGGTTAGAACAACTATTCATTTAATTTACGTTTTGTTAAATTATTTTTTTGAACTTAATTTACTTTTCTATTTACTATTTTTTATTGATTACACCTTTTCCAGGGTAAAGTCAGTTGGTCCTTTTTATCCCGCCCACATGTAAGATTTTATAGGAGTTATATGAAAAAACAATACATATTATAAACAATTAAGTACCGTATATTTAAAAATAATGATAAAGTCTCGTAAACTAAACAACAGTGCTCATAACCAAAAAAGCTAACAACGAAAACCAACACAGACCAACCAACAAAGAAAATACTTTTGTTATGGATTTTCAAACATGGCTGTTTAGCCCCTGATAGCGAAGTCGTAAGAATCAACATGATGGCTGGTTATACATATGTTTCCCTCTACTTTCAAATATTATGGTTAAATAATTCTTTTTACCCGTGAACTTTCAAGCCTACTATTGAAGTAGGCCAAATATTTCCAGGACATAAGAGATAAATTATCACAGAAAAATCGCTGGATTGTTAAAATTACATTCGAGTTGATGTAGGTATTCTATTCTATTTTTCTTGAACATTAATCAGAACTGAAAGTTTATGATATTAAGAGATGATTACATCTCTTCAACATAGTTCATTACAATTAGAAAAAAGTCCAACGGTTGTCCTATTCTTTTTTTAATGTATTCTTATAAGAAGGCACCCCAATGGTTGCCCTTTCACTAATAGTGATTAACTTATTGTACGAATGCTGGGAAGGGCTAGTTTGACTTGAAAACATATTACAATCTATATCTTTAAGTGAAAATATTCCATAAAAGATATCAATATTTAGTTATTTACATATACATAAACACCACAGATATGCAATTGTCGTACATGTTTCTATAATTTCTTAATAAATAAGTATTTGTACACTGAACTCTAGCGAACTATTGCTCTAATTGCATTTGGTTGTTTTATTTAATTCGTCATAGCAATTATGAATATTAACGATTAAAAGATGCGATTAAACAACTATTAAAGTGTCATGATTTATTAATGAAAAATAGTTTTTTTCCGCTCACTTTCAAATAAATCAATGACAGTGAGTAATAAGCACGATTTGAATATATACATACAAAAGCCGGTTGGCTTGGAGCCAAATTTAAATTTTGAAACTAGTTAGGATTTGCATATTTTGCACAAAAACTAGTAGTATTAGATTAGTAAAATATATTATTAATCAAATTAGCTGTCATAAGCTTCCGCGTCTATTTACAGGAGCGAAAGTACAAACGTTGACACAAACTATATCGTAAACAAACATTCTTAATTGCGTAAATAATAAATTATGACAAGCGAAAAAGAATCGTAGCATTTTAAAAATAACAGAACTATTACTTAAATATATTTAATCTCATACCTTTAAAAGTCAATAGCTCAATGTCAGTAACTTGCTAAAATCATATCTCTGCAGGTCATAATTTCAACAACACTGTGTAAATAATAAAACATTTTCAAACTTTCAGTTGATAAATACGAAAAATAGCATGATATTTCACAGGACGCGAGTTATATATTTTTGAACTACATAGTTACACAAGTATGTTTGTAAATAACATTGACATTTAGAAGAAAGCAAAAAGCGGCGAAATTTAAATTGGTCAAATCTGTCAAGCACCTTCTCGAATGACTGATAAAATAGAATTGAATTCGAAAGGCGATCTTTCGTTGTGTCGTAACTGTTAACGCTATCAGGGCGATAGTACTTATGTACACGGCAAAGATGGCGCTGCTTATAGTTGGTTCAGCATAGACATATAGATGTCCCGGGAATATAAAATCATCGTAGACATAAACCAAACGAATGGAATTAAGTTTTTGATAAGTAAAGATAGAATCTTGTAGGAATCTTACAGAATCATTATTAACTTTGCAAAGGAAAAGGTATGTTTTTGCCAGAAATTTCAATTTTCAAGTTACTCTAAAGCCTTCGAAACCCAAATTGGGAAAAAAGTGTGTGTATATATTTGAGGCATTTCGTCGATATTTTCTCAAAAATTGGTGCAAATATTTCAAATATTTAGAAGCCATTTGCATTGTTTAGTTTTTCAAAATGATCGGCCTTAATAATTCTTTAAAATTATTATTTTTTATTTCGTCCACATTTTTACCAAAAATCCGTTGGGCTTTTCAAAAGGTATCAGTTGGTAATCGTGTTATCAATCGTTGCTTCGTAGTAAATTAACAGAAAAGGTTGATTTTCGAAGTTTGGACATTAATTGCAGTCACCTTTATAGGATTGTTTGCAAATACATTAACAAAAATTTGAGATTTAGATGTTAAAATTCACCAATTCAACATTTTCTGCTAATGCTAAACAAACGGTTACGAAAACTGATCAAAACGAATCCTTAACGAGCTTTATCAAAGGGATTTTAGAGTTTTAAAATCGGTTCAAACGTCTTTAAGAAAAAGGCCGGCAAAAGGTCAAAGTTTAGATTATAATCACTTACATATTCAAGAACGATTCAGAATGACTTGAAACGTCCAGGAAACACCGTACAAAATAAACCAAACTAATGGAGTATGACGTGAAGTTTTTGATATGTAGAAATAGAATCTTATATGCATAGAAAAGGAAACTTATAAGTATAAACATTTCATGGGAATCTTATAGAATCTTTTTTAACTTTCCAAAGGAAAGTTTTTACCAGATATTCTGATTTTATACATTTCTTGACGTTTCAAGTCGCTCTAAAGCCTTTGAAACCCATTGGGAAAAAATTGTGTGTGCGTGTGTACATGTGAGCCCTTCCGTCGGCCTTTTCTTAAAAATTGCCCCATATATTTCAAATATTTCAAAACCATTTGCGTTGTTTAATTTTGCAAAACAATCCGTCAAACTGTTTCTTTAACATTATTCTTTTTTTTTCGTCCATGTTTTCGCCAAAAATCCGTTAATGTTTTGAATGGTATCAGTTGGTAATCGTGTTGTCAAAGATTTCAGATGTTCAGATCGTTTCTTCGTAATAAACTAAAATAGTTTGATTTAGTTTAGACATTAGTGACATTTTAATTGCAGTAACCGATTCAGGATTTATTGCAAAAACGATAAAAATTTGACACTTAAATGTAAAAATTTATCAGAACATTTTCGGCTAATTCTGAAGAAAGGCTCGGCAAACTGATCAACGTGAGTTCTTAACGAGCTCCATCAAAGGGCTTTTAGAGTTTTAAAGTCGGTCCTGCCATTTGTAAAAAAACGTCGGCGAAAGGTCAAATTATTGTCTACATACACCTACATATTCAAGAAGAATTCAGAATGACTTGGCACGTCCAGAATACATAAAATTAGGAAATCTCGATGTTCTGGCGGAAATACGGACATAGACTAATGTCTAAATAGTTTTATCTCAGGTATTGAATTTCATTTTATAACTTTTTATTACCATCGTATTAGGTTGAAGTTTTCTTATCAATAAATATGACATGATAAGAAATATCATTGAAAAAAATTCAAATGTTAAATTATAATAAGTAGCAGTTATCAAAGATATACAAGATTAAGAATCATATAATAATGGTATAACATAATTTTTAATGAGAGCGAAGGTACATGTATTTTTAACTAAAATAATAATGCATCAATATATTATCAGGACTGAAATTCCTTTGACCCATGGCATGTTTTAATGTTAATAAAATTATTTTCATAGAAATACATGAAATCAAAAATACACCAAATCGTACATATAAAATAAAAAATATAATTCATATTCCCATACACATTTCGAAAATTAAATTTTAATATAATAACAAAAAATATATAGCAAATTTTCAAGCTAATATTTTCTAAGAAGATATAAGATTTAATTAGGTACTAGTACAACCTTATGGCTATTAGTAGGCATTATAGATTTCGTTTGCAGATATTGTTAACAATTGTACATTTCCAATGAAATATTAGATGATAACGATTTTTGTAAATAACTTATCATTGACACCAACTGGAATTTGGCTATTTTATCAAATTTTAATTGTGATATGATTTGGTGTGTGTGTGTGATCGAGTGATTTCTTGTTAAACTTGTTAAAGGTTCTGTGATTAATCAATCAATCTGAAAACATACACAAACTATTTATTATTCAAGTTTATTCTTTATACTTTTTTATAATATATATATAAAATTGAAAAAAATATAAATGTAGTGATGTGATAAGTGTGTAAAGTATAATTTTATTTTGAAAAATTAGTTTAGGCATGAATAACTACACCATATCGCAGTCAATGCAATTCCGCCTTCTTTTATGTGAATGCCTATTTATTCAAAATATTTAATAATTATTTTATATTGAAAAACTAAACTTAAACAAACAATAAAAGAGAATAATTCATAAAATGTCCAGAACTAGTATTGTTCGTGGAGAAACCAAAGGAGTCGAAATTGCAACCCGTAATAGTATCAACAATTTAGTGAATAACAAGGATTTAAAGACTCTTGAAGCAGAGGGAAGGAATACTGATAAATCATGGAATTTGCAAAATTTACGCGTAAGTTATCATAAATGAATGGAAATTGTCCTAACAAAATACACAACTAACTTTAGCTTGTAGGTTGAGACACGATTATGACTAAATTTTAAAATAATATTAGTCCAGTCATTATAGTAAGTTCACCTCGGAATTCGAGATATCCAGCTGTAAGTCTGTAAATACTTGTATTTTGCACCCTAAAAGTTGTCTCAAAGCCTACATATGTTGCGTACACCCTACCATATGTAGGTAAATACAAGTACTTACAGACTTATAGCTGGGTATCTTGATTTCCGAGATTCTTACCTAATTTAGGCTTAAATGACTGGATTATATCAATTATTACAATTCCACACTGAAATTTTTAACTCCATTCGAAAGAGAACAGAGATTTATAGCATTTCGCTTATATAAGGCGAATAACCTATACCGGAAGGAACAACTATTTCAACTATTTATAATTTTTATTAGCGCGAAAACCTATAAATTTAAATCATATTATATTGCATTAAATATCAACGCACTTTATATAAATTCAACAAAAGCTTAATATCATAAAATATTCGAACCCATAAGTATCAAATTAAAATCTGAAAATTTGCCAATTCTAAAAACTTCTACATTTTTTTCGCTTATCCAAGGAGGATAATTTGTAACGCAAGGAACAATTATTTCAAAAATGTATATTTTTTTTATTAGCGCAAAAACTGCCTAATATTATAAAGTATTCCAACCCAAAAGTATCAAATTAAACACTGAAAATTTGCCAATTATAAAAATATCTACATTTTGAAGTTTTTCTATATTTTATATAAACAGTTAAAGTTTGTATGTTTAGAAGTTTTGTTTCAAGAATATGAACATGTTTCCTGATTCTAATACACACTTATAAAATTAATTTGGAAAGTCAATTTTTATAATGACCAACTGTTATTTGTTTACTATTTTGAAACAAAAATGGATTTTTAGTACAATAATTTTAATTTAAGACTTCATATGCACCAGTTTAATTCTGCTGCATAAAAACCATTCAATCAAAAAATCAAATATTATTGAAATAAAAATTCAATGAAAAGTTGAATTAAATGTGACCTAAAGACGGTTAGAACTTTTTCTAATACTAAAATTAACAAATTCAGTACCACCATATTAAAACTTGCGGTTTTAAAATTTAATTTTGGTATTGTGGAATTAACGATCACTTAAAAGTAAATTAAAAAATCGTACTCGAGCTCTAATTTGAATAAGTATGCTTTATGGTTTATGAATTATTAAAATCTTCCAAAATTGTATTCCACATTTGAGATACCCATAGAAGTTAAATTAATAGTAAGCGCTGTAAGTAATATTCATAGTCCTACTGCAAACTTAATTTATTAAGCTCATTAATTGGTTATAGTTAAATTTCACAGAAAACTGAGCAATTAGTGCGTACCTTAGTCCACTTCTCTCTAGATGAATAATAATATTAATATTAAGTAACAATGGAAAAATCCCTACCAAACTAAATACCTTTATATTATATGTACTTACTCATGCTCACTTTAACATTCAATTCTAAATGTTAGAAAAGTCAATGAGTAAACAAATCAATTCAATAAATAATATGCCTTTAAATTTTTTGCACTAAATATACTTGAAAAGTTATTTCGCTAATTTGATTATTTTTAAACCAATATTTTATATAGAATTATTATTGTTATTGGTAACATTAATTCGCTGTTTACATTTCAGGATACAATTTTGACACGAGATCTGGAAGTTTTATACAAACAATACTCTAAAAGATTGGAATATAGCCACATTTCAATATTTCTTTACATATTTACGAGTCTTAATGTTGTGCATATAGGCCTGCTGCTTTACAACAAACAGGTAAAAGTTTTTAACTGTTGAAGATAGATTTTTATTTAATATAAAAAATTATTTTGTCTACCCAACCACTTTGTTTTGTTTTTTACTTCTAGCTTTAGTCCAATCTGAATCCTAGCTGATGTTTGGTTTGTTGTAGAAAAGAATCTGATTTTACCTGTAGAAATAAACTTTGTATGCGTGTTTATGCAATTGTTTTCTATGATCATTTTCTTTGGAGTTCATCATTGGAAAAATTCCGATGTCAATGGTACAATGTTAAGGCAATGTTCTCATGTTATGGTCTTGATCAAGATTGTTTCTTTGGCAGCCATCATCTTATTTTTACAATTGTTTCTTCTCTCTTGTCTATTTTTGTCCACTACTTTTTCTCAGAATTCTTTCTCGATGACTCTGTTAAAACATTTCTCTATATCTATTGCAACAACATTTCCACCAGCTTCGCTTTCCATACCATCCACTTCAGACAATCCATCACGCAAGTTAGTGATTGTTTGTGCACCTCTGTTTAACTCTATAGAAAAGACGCTGTTTGACTTTTTTGTTGTAGAATGCACACTAAACTACTATAGTTATAGTATTTCCCATATTTATTAAAACATTTGAAAATTCTGCACAAAATTTTTCAGTTATGATTAAAAAATTCAAAATTAGTACAAATCCCAAAAATCTGGTAACCAACTTTTTTCATAAGTTGTATTAACTCTATGAAGTTAATCTGGGATATTGATCGATTTTGGCTGTTATATTTACTTTAATCAACCATTTTTCTATTTTAGGATCAAGATATTAATTATCTTATAGATTATTTATGTTATGGATTTGCTACAGTTCTTGTTTGGCCATTACTGGGATTACTGTTTTATAGCAAACTTCATAGAAAATTTCACTGGGCTAAATATGTAATTTCATCAGTAGCCATATTTCTTCTTGTGGTATCAGGTAAATAAAAATAATATAAAAAGCTATAAGTATATTGATTTTTAAACACTGCTAACTTATGCAATAAACTTATTTCTTTTCATAATATATATTTCATAGTATATATTATTTACAGATCTTGCAGTGCCTTTAGGCCATTGGGGAGATGAGAAAGATACTAAAGCCCAGCCAGTGCGTCCGGCAAGAGCTTCAATTGCCATTTTAACATGTCACCTTTTAATACCTGTCCTAAGGAATCTTCATACAGTTATCATGGGATTTACCATTACTGCATCACACTTAGCAGTTCTAACATTCATAACACATCGCGATCAATCAAATGTTGCAATTTTGGTAATTTATGTTTAATGACACTACTTAGTAAATGAGAGTTGTTTACTCTCTTACTAGTACTATTAGTAGATAACACATAATTTAGTACTTGCCCTTTATGCTGCAACATTTAAATATGTTTTCTAATTTATTTATTTTAATTATGTTATTCACACTTTAGAAAAAGAATGAATAATTCTCTTTTACTTCACTGGTTGAATGTAAACTTATTGCACATATCTTAATTTATATGTAAACAATTATAATATTTTTTACTTTTAGGTAGTTGGTGATGCCTTGTATTTAATTTGCATTAACGCGTTATGCATATATTTTCGATACATCAGAGAAATACTGCTACGCCGAATATTTCTAGACAGAAGGGCATGTTTAGAAACAGCTGAACAATTAAAATACGAACAAGATCAAGAGGTATACATAAAATTAAGAACATGAATTAAAAACTGATTTTCACAGTTCTCAAAAAATATATTTTAAGGAGAGACTGATGTTAAGCATTCTTCCGGAATATATAATGCAAGAAATGAAAGCTGATATTCGAAATGCTTGCATGAAACTGATTGGAAAACATGATACAGGGACGATTATTCATAAACCACGTAGTCCATTTAAGTAAGTATTATAGTATTTATACAAACATATTATATAATAACATATACTGCCATAACTTAATGGAATGATACAAAATTTCAAATAATTTTCTAGATAATTATTTTTTTCATTCTAATTCCATTACTATGGAATGGAATGAAACTTTCATTCTAATTCCATTACTATGGAGTGGAATTTGAAACTTAAAAAGTATATCATAATCTTAAAAAAGGTATATCTCATGAAAAAAATAATTAAGATAATCTAGCTTGATTATCAAAAATATTTATCAATAATTATTGATTTTAATCAATATATCTTAATTATAATCAATGTATATTAATTATATTCAATATATCTTAATTAAAATAAAAGATACCACAAAAATGAAATAATAGAAATGATAAAATTAAGGCAAATTTCAATAAAAAAATTATATATATATATATATATATATATATATAATTCAAGACTATTCAAATATATATATATACGAGGTGTGTTCAAAAAGTACCCGGAATTACTAATAATTAAATTTCGCGGGTCTGGAGTGTCTGATTGTCAAAATTTTTTTTTATTGTGTTGGTATACATGCCCCTAAAGTATGATGAAATTTTCAGCTATATTCACTGTTTACTTTGTCTGTGGTAGTCGCTAAGGTTCGACGTGTTTTTCTGAGCTCGGCGATTTTTACAATGGAAGAATTGAAAAGTCAAAGAATTTGTATTAAATTTTGCGTAAAAAATGAAATAAAGTGTTGCAAAGTGCAAAAATTCACCAGATATGGCTCCGTGTGACTTTTTCCTATTCCCAAAGTTGAAGAGACCCATGAAAGGACGGCGGTTTTCCTCGATTGAAGAAAATCGCTGAGAGTGCTCAAGGACATATCAAAAAGTGAATATCAAGGGTGCTTCGAAAATTGGAAAAAACGCTGGCATAAGTGTATTATATCTGGGGGGGACTACTTTGAAGGGGACCACATTAATGTAGACGAATAAATAAATATTTTTTTGAAAAAACGAAAATTCCGGGTACTTTTTGAACAGACCTCGTATATATATATATATATATATATATATATATATATATATAAGCAATATTATACTTTAAAAATAATTAAATTTAAACAATCTTAAACAATTATTAACAAAACTATATTTACATTTCATATTTAACATATAAAGTTGATTCAATATCATTTAGTACTTACAAATTAAATTTCTTATTATACTGCTTGAAAATATAATCCAGATTGAGCACTTTCTAAAGCTCTCCTACACGCTAATTGAGCTGTATATCCGCCTGCTTTTTCAGTAGTTGTCGTTGATCTAAACAAATTATTTTTCATTAGTACTATCAAAATTTGAAGATATATCAGGCTCAGTCGATCTAATACATATTACTTTCATACAATGAATACTCAAAAGTTAGGCAGACACTCTAGAGATAAATTGCTTCCAATTCACATAAACTTCTCTTTCTCTTTACACACAAAAAAACTATTTTCCACTTTTTAAACTTATAGACGGTAAATCATAGAACATTTATTTGCTCAAATTTACTACAAACATTTTCTTCATTTTTTAAGTATTTAGAATTATTATATTTTAATCAATTTTTAACAATTCTAATTTTTTTACCTGACATGTTTTATAAATCCTAAGTTATCTAGTTCTTCAAATGTGGGAGGCATGGGTCCTTCAATATTTACTCTGAATTCAGTGTACTGATATAAAGGACCTTCTTCCACTTGAGGTACTGGTAAAAACTGATGTTGCCCAGAGCGACCAAATTGAATTCCAGTTGAAAACTGAGTTATCTAGAATATAATTGAAAAAATATTAATTTCGATATATAAATATCCACAAGTCTCATAAACTGTACAATGAAAAATGTGCACACAACTTTACCATAAAGAAGGCAAACAATAAATAAAAAAACAATAAAATAAAATACACGGTTCACAAGAATTATGTTTTGAACAGTACACATGTTTCAAGAATGATTATTTTAATCTTGAAAATTATTATTTTGAGGAATACCAGTAATTAGGAACTGATAAATACCAATAATTAGGAATTGAGGAATACCCATTATAGACAAGCATACATATATGTTTTAATATCCAACTCTAGATTTTGTTTACAATTTTATTGATTTATGAAATATTGTGCTCTTAACTTAAAAACAATATTCTCAATTATTTCTCATTCCTATAGAACGTAATTATCATTAAAATGTAACATTCTATGTCACTGAGACAAAAATTTAATGATTATTATCCAAACCTTTGGTATCTCTTTGAGTTCTTCTTTTACTTGTTCTTGTTTGGTAGCAAATGTTTTTACAATATCTTTTGCGTCACCATGACTGAACATCAGTTCATCAATCAATGCATCTTTCGCACGCTGTTTTTTCTTTGCTGTCTCTTGTTCTTGTAATAATATTTGTTGTTGTCGAAGTTCTTCATGTCTTTTCTCCATTTCTAACATTTCTTCTAGTTCATATTCTTCACGCCCTATTTTGAATATTAGGCATAAGATTAAAACAAAATACAAATTATGCATAAATATAAACATACATATATGAAGATGGAGAAAATATTAATAGTAGGGGAAATATGGGGATTCAAATGCTGAGAAATAAACTCAGCTTCTTTAATAATATTTTGGTAGTACATAACCTACCTATTTTTGATTTATTTTTCAAGATAATTTCTCTGTTATCTTTCTTATATTGTTCAATCAATTTATTTGTATTCAATACATCAATATTGTTGACTAGATTGTAAATAATTGTTTCAATTTGCTCTAAATAATCATTATATTCAGCCAGCGATGCAAAATCTTCTTCTTTTTTATTGAAGTCTCTAATAACTTTTCTTCTTATATCAACTTCTTTTTCAACCATGGGATCCTCAAACATTTGAACTCTAAAATTACTTCTACGTAGAGGTACATTGCAATCGGGGCATGAACCTGATCCTATAAAAAAATATTATATTAGTAAACAAACATTGAATAGTCATGAATAATCAATTTTATTCGATGATTAAAAATTATATAATATTACAAAAAATAATGTATGATGTATACCTTTAAGAAAAAGTAAATCAACACAATTTTCGCAAAGTGCATGACCACAAACATTTACCATCAACTTTAGTGACGGATTTCTGTATTTAGTTGTTTTACATCTCGGACACGCTTGATCATCCATTTTATAATTATTTATAAATTTATATTAATAAAAATACACTACAAATTTTCTCTTAAAAAAATAATTCTTATGTATACATTTTTGTGGTTATAATAGAAAATTTGACGTTTATTTTAATACAACAATCTTTAGACCATAGATAAGAAGTATAGATGTAAGAAAACCAATTCTTATCTATGCTAAAGGTTGCGTCACACAGCCCAATCTAACAATAAGTTATCCATAGATAAAAGAAGGGTATATGAAGTTATCAGTTAATTTGAGTTAATTATTTTTCACAAAAATTATTGCCCATTTTTCTATAATTAACATTTGAAAAATTTATTTTAAATCGCAGTTTTTCCTCAACCTCATGAACTGCTCAAGCTTTCAGTCATCACTCAGTATTCAATGTAAAACAACAATAGTTTTTTACGAAAAAGACAAAGACTAGTGGTGTAGGGCATCGTGCCTTAAGGCAAATTGCTGGAACTTCCCTTACCGGAACACAATGTTCGAGGAATATTAAATGTTTTCAAATAGATTATTATAAGTACTGTAACTTCGTCCACTATTCGTAGTTTATAGATGAAACATAAGAACTTTTGAATTGGACGACGACGTTTATATATATTTTTAAATCATTGAAATCGGCTAAGTTTTCTCAAAAACTGCCATTTTTAGCACCTTTGGCAAAAGCTAATCAGCGCATCTCTCTATCAATAGGAATCGATTGCTTTTCGAATTTTACAAATCTGTTCATCCATACGCCCGAAATCGTCGACGAAAAATTGTCTTCACACATACACACACACATCCATTTTTCTGAGGTATGCCAAAATGTTCATAAACCTTTGAAATGTGAAGATATGTAAAAAAATTGATTTTTGAACGATTATAATAACTTACCCTACGGGAAGTTAATAGATTATTCGAAAATCAAAAATACAAGGATATCAAGATATAGGTGATTTTTATAATATACTGGAGAGTAGACCTATCTAGAACAAACAAACTTCTCCACGCAGAAGTTAACCCTTTCCACTCGCGAATTACGAAATTTGTATGTATTTTGCCGCCGGAGAATCGGCATCCGAGTGAAAAGGGCTAATAATAAAAAAACTTAATAATAATAAAATAGCTAAGATATACATTGATTAAGATCAATAGCCCAATTTAAACGTTTCATTCTTTTGAAACTTGTACTACTTGTTTCTAATTTTTTAAATATTTAGCAATATATCTCACAACCCTTAACATAAATTTTCAGAGATATTTACGCTCAGGAATTTCTGGATGTATCTATTTTGTATGCAGATATAGTGAACTACACACAAATGACTACAAGATTATCAGCAAGAGAATTAGTAGAAACACTGAATGAATTATTTGGACATTTTGATAAAGCCTCGGAAGTAAGTATAGTAGAGTAAAGCATTAATTAATATAATAGACTCCAAACTATCAAATTGAAGTTAGTTAGTTTGAGTTGCGTTAAAAGTTGTGAAAAATTGCATTGCAGCATTGTTATATTTGAACTTTATTTTACTTCCTTTTATATATTGTACTATTTCAGTCTTTAAGCAACATCTCAGAAACATCATTTTAAATTTTTGTTTCTTTCAAAACGTTTGTGAAACTTATTAATACAATTGAAATAGCAGTTTTTTTTTTCAAAATAAATGTTCCTAAATTAAAATTTATTAATTGAGATTTTCTTTCCAGAGACATAATGTATTGCGAATTAAGTTTCTGGGAGATTGCTACTATTGTGTTTCAGGAGTTCCTAAACACGATCCTAGACATGCTCGAAACTGCGTTGATCTCGGACTGGAGATGATCACGATTATTGGTGAAGTGAGGTAGTTTTATTATAATGAACACATAATCTTGAAAAAATATTTTAAGATCTTATATAAACTGCAATTAAATATAAAATTAGTGTAGTCCGAAAAAATAGTTTAAATTGCCTACAAGAAAAATAATTAAGTTAACTGTAGAATATAATACTGATCCATGATCATAATACTATGTAGCAATGTAGCAATTACATACAGAAATGAGTTATAAAATTTTTATAATATAATATAATAATAGACGTCGTCGATCATTGGACGTAGATATGAGAATTGGCGTACACTCTGGAAATGTAATTAGTGGAGTTTTGGGCGCAAAAAAGTGGCAGTATGATATATGGTCCCGCGACGTAAAAATAGCCAACATCATGGAATCAACTGGTGCACCAGGGTACGTAAATCGCAAAATAACTAACTATATTGATGCATTTTAATGATTATATATTACACAATATAATATAATGGAAAATAGTTTTTTTTCTTAAGTATTATCAAGTGATAAAGAAATTTACAAAATACGAAGTCAAATATCTACAATAAATTTCATTATTTCTACTAATAAATATTTCCAATATATTTGTTTATTTAGTAAAGTTCATGTAACAAAACAAACATTGGATCTTTTGGATGGTAAATACAAATATGAGCCATCTCCAAAAAAATCTCAAGCCCGAACTCATCCACTACTTGTAGAAAATAATATTGAAACATTTTTGATCTCCACTCAAATTAAAACTGTAAGTATAATTACAATCAAATTAAAACTGTATTTATAATTATTCAGTTTCAAAATCATGCATTTTAACAAAGACAATAATAATTGTAAAAGGGCTCTTATTTTTTAAAAAAAATATAACATTTAGAATTTTATTCCATATAATACAAATAAAGCAAAAGAAGCTCCAGGTTATGTGATAAAATGATAGTAACTTAATATACAATATAATTTTAAAGTTATTCTTACTATGTATATCAAATAAACTGTAATAATATATTGTATAAGTATATAAATTCGTTGTCAACGTAAAATTCAGTGGTAATTTCCAAGTTCACAGCATTTATACTTATTAATTAGAAATATTATATCTACATTAATTAAGTTGATAATCAAGTATTTGAAATTTTTATTCATAGAAGGATCATATTCCCAGGATTTATCAAAGACAAGTTTCAAAAACCTCACACGAAAGCAGCATCCGAAATGAGCCACATTCGGTAAGATATATTTTAAAATTGAAATTCATTATTTTTTTGTACTATTTATGCATTCTATGTACTCTCGTTCCAATGCAAAATATTTATACTAAAATGAATTATTTTATTTATTTTTGCTTTGTTTAAGTATATGAAATTACTCAAAAAACCTACGACTTTCTAATTGGAAATGGATGTTCTGCATTGGAACATCTAAGATTTCTCTGTATTTAGATAAAGCTAAGAATTTAAATTTAAATTTTATTTTTATATAAATTTTAGCTGTCTCTAAATATTGATTCTGCTATCGTTTCACAAAGACGAACATTTATGAACAGCAGTTCGCAACGAAGTGTTATGATACAGCAAAAAGCAGATGAAGATATGTTGGTATCGATTGATGAATTGCCAATAGGTGATTTCAGGTAAATGATTATTTTTAATATTAACTTGCAATGTTATTAAATTTGAAAAAATATCGTTTTTTAAAAAGTCGTCAAGACTAATCTTTAGAAAACCCAAGTAAAAAATTCTTGGAACGAGTGACTTTACTGAACAAATGCACTTATAAGATAATAAATTATTACTTCGTATAATAAGCAAAATGAGTCATTACAAATATATAATTTTATTTTAAACTGCACCAAGTGTTCAAAAAATACATAAGTACCTAGAATAATTAGAAATATGATAGATGGCTTTTATATTTTGATGCTTAGATTCAAAAATATTTTACTCAGACCAATCCTAAGTGCTGTATTTCATTTTGAAATTATCTATTAGTTGAATTATATATAATTTAGTTTACAGGCTTGCTTCCGAAAAGAGCATTTAATTATTTTTTTCTATTATTATCAGTATTATTTTTAAACGCCTAAAATAATTTCTTTTTTTTCAGGCAATTTACTACGTGCAATAATTGCTCGCCAATGTTTACAATTTTCAAAAATTCTTCGTGGGAGTTGCCATATATGAAACAAAACGATCCACTGTTCAAATACTACGTTGCTGCTGCTTGCTTTGTATTAATAATTATAATAATGATAGAGAGGCTTTCACTAGTAGAGTAAGTAACCAACTATTCCATTAATTTTATTTGTAACTACATTGTTTACAAAAATAGAGATCAATTTTTTTAATGGCATCATATATTCTGAAAGATAAATTTAAAATTTATCGACCTGTATAAAGTGATTTTTAAAATGTTATACATTGTTAGCAAATTTCAATCAAAACACTTTAAGGAACTTTCATATCATAACTCATATACTATGATCCATAACGAGGATTAATTACAAATTTTATATTTATGATATTTGTATGATATTTATACTTATTTATTTATTTAGATATTTACAGTATTTATTTAATATTACAGTTGGGATTCAACAATGTGCATAATATTTCTGGGATCAGCGATAATATTATTTATAACAATCATTTTATCTTGGTCTCATTGGATGTGGCATAAATATGATACAAGAGATAGATCATCATCAGGTTAGTAATTTAGAAACAAAATACAGACATGCAGTCATTATATAAATGTTATATTTGTATCTAAAGTATAATATCGATAATGGCTAAAATATTAAAATTTATATAGTCTATAGACTGAGATAAGTAGTATATAGTACTATAAAGTTAAGTAGTTAATATTACATGATTAAATATTGAAGTAAATAATTCTATTCCATCTAATATCTTGAACTTCTAATTATATCAATCTTTTTGTAAATAGTTAGCTATAACTAAATAAGCTTAATATGCAATTAAAATGTAGTTAATAATAGCAGATATTTTTTTGGATGTAATATTTTTCCTCTTTGATCAGATTTACATTATTTCTTTATTTCATATGACTACTACATGTGACATCAAACATAAAAAGCAAAAAAGAAAGATAATTTTGAAAAGAAATGGCAAATAAAGTGTATTATAGTTTCAAGATTGATCAAATTAAAATTGTTCTTTAAGTTTTTGTTGGATTCCCATTCACTATACTTCTTTATTATATATTATTATTCACTTTATTATATATTAATTTTAAAAAATTCATGATCAAATTGCACAGTTTTAGGCATATTCAGAAAGAGTACCAAAAGCTCTCGAGCTAACAGAACATCGATTGCTGTACCTGGAAGACTATCGGAGTAAGAAGCTTTTTTTATATTTTTTTAATTTATCATATGGTAAATTTTATATTAGTAGAAACTTAAATTCGTTTGCAAAGAAATTAAAATAAAATTTTGTATGCAACCATGACGATTCAATTTTTCGTCCATGTTTTTGCAACTTTCTTCAAGCTAAAATTGTACTTACACATAATTTTATATATAATAATAAATATTAAATAGAAGCACCACCAAATCCATGATGTCCTTCCCCTCCGTTGTTTATTATTCTCATTGCCGATCTATTAGTATTAATTAACTACTATTAATGACCATTAATCACTTTATATTCGTTTTTATAAATTTTTCTTTACAAACTTCTGCATCCATGCTTCCTGGTCCTGTGCTTCGGCTTTCAGTTTCCTGTATTTCCTCTTCTCGCGTAAGTCATCAATCATCTGCATTCTTCTTCTTCCCAATCCTTTGAGTCCTTCTATTTTGCCTTCAACGCCGTCGTGCAGGATGCATTATTTTGCAGAATGGGTCCGATCCAGTTTCCTTTTCAGAATCGTGTTCAGTAGAGTCTTTTCTTCGCCCACTCTTCTTAGGACTTCTTCATTTGTTATCTTGTCATCCACTTTATCTTCTCCATTCGCATCCAGCACCACATTTCAAAACTCTACAGATAGTTCTTGTCGGCTTTTCTCAGAGTCCATGTCTCTGATCCGTACAGAGCTATGCTCCATACATAACATTTATATATATATTCAAATAAAACGCATTTTTCTAGAACAAGTTCTCCGGATTCTCCTCAACGAAAACCAAAATGGGCTGTAACACGTGCGTTATATCTTGTATCAAGGAAAATTGTCACAAGCGCCGCCATTCGTTCATTTGTCTACTGCGGCCTAATATTAATATTAGCCACATGTGCAATGATCAATTTGGTAATTACCAATTTAATTTTAAATAACTAAACTAAGTTAATAATATATTTTAGAGGATAGAATATAAAAATAATGACATTGAATGTGAATTTGCAGCACTTTTGTGATAATCTTGGAAAACGCCTTTCCATTACTCGTGATGAAATAAGTGCTTTACGAGTTGTTACTAAATGCACCATATCAGTGTGGGTATGTTTACAAAATGTAATTATTAAATTTAGTATATATTTAACTTTTTTTTTATTTCAGTTCACAACCTATAGTGTTTCTTTAGTTATCATGATGTGTTTTATGTTTTATAAAATTCATTATTTATTAAAATTATCGACTGGCTTGACTGTGATTATAATATACTACTGGATAATATGGTTTTTTAGAACTGATTTATATTCGGTAAGTTTATACAACATTTGGTAAAATTATTATACAAAATAAGTACAAATAAGAATACATTTCATTGATGTAATATACAATTTTATTAAAACTAGTTCAAAATTATGCTTATTAAAATGACATGGTTTTGAAACAGAATAATGAGTTATGATCTTACGGTAATAGTAGTTAAATAAGAAGGCATAAAATCATTGCTCGTAACTTATTAAAATTTATATAATTTTCAATATAAAGTTCTGTTGCATTTTACATTTTCGGTCTTTTACAATAAATTTATTTTTCACGCCTCAATTTACTTATCGGGAGTTTCAATAATAATAATACGCAATTAGATACCGTTAAAGATCAACATTTAGTAAAAGTTTAATTATTTAAATATTCCGTATAAACTATGAAAAATAATATGAAAATAAAAGTTATTAAAAAGTAATTTATAAGTCACAGATGAATCCTTTGGTACAACGTAGAAAATGATAATATAAGTAATATATTGTTAAATAAAATATATTGGTAACAGTTCAATTAAAAATTGACGCGCAATATAATTAGGCAATTTCAATTCCGTCGACTTTATGTCGAAATAAAAAAAAGATATTTAAGTTCGGTATGTCGATGTTTCCAAAATATTATATTAATATGAACCCAAAACTTCGGAATAAGTTTTATAATGGTTATGCATATGATTGAAATTTTGTAAATATTAATTTAACAGTGCAACTTACAATGGGGCAGAATCCAAAAACATTTATATCAATAACTAGCTGTACCCGTTCACGCTTTGCCATGATTTAGCTTAAATTGAAAAGTTGAACAAAGATGTGTATTTGTTACATTTAGTTTAACGTTACTACTATCTGTTCAACAATTTACCTATTCAATAATTTGCCTACGAATTTACCTATCAACTTATTAATCAATTTACCATTTTACCGGCTTATCAATTTACCTGTCAACCTATTTACCTATCAAACTGTTTATCAATACACTATTTTACCTGCCAACCAATTTACATGTTATCCCGTTCTAAATGTCTACCAATTAACCTGTTCAATAATTTACCTGTTGAACAATTTACCTGATTAACAATTTGTCTACTAATTTACCTATCAACCTGCTTATCAATCAACCATTTTACTAGCCTACAAATTTACCTGTTATCCCTTGCTACATGTCTACCAGTTAACCAGTCAACCTGTTTATTTGTCTACATATTCGTCTATCTACCATTTCTCCTCTCTACCTTTTTATATATCCTCCAATTTACCTGTTCACCAGTTTACATTTATAAATTCGCTAATTCACCTTATTTATTTACACATTATAAAAAAATTAAAGCTCAAATTGATTCTACCATAGATAAGGAAAGGGATTCTACGTTTTAGTTAGAAAACGTTTGTACGTAAAAAAGAAAGGGCTGTATTTAGGGTTTTCCGGCAATTATTCGATTTTTTCTCACCATCCTTGGACATCAACGAACATTTTAAAAAAAGAATTGGCCAAATTGGTCCAGGCGTTGTTGAGTTATGCGCTTACCAACATATTTTGCGATCCATTTTTATATATAAGATAAAGCACAAATCCTCTATATCACGGTAAAAAAGTCAAACTTCTATTGCGCAGCAAAAATATAGCGTCATATGTCTTACAACAGAATTCTTCTTCTTCATAAAAAACAGGTTATCATAAAATTTGTTCTGAAATTTCGCTGCAATCATGTCATCAGCAATACGATATGTAATCATCAATAATCTCATCCTATTTCCATGACCTCCCTGTTTACCTTAAAAATCCAATAGGCACTCGTTCATTGAATAAAAATATGTGATATTGAATATAAGAAATTAGGAAATTGATTATATATAATTGTGTTAAGAATTCATCTAGCTGGAATGCGACCCTAGATCCACGATGGGCTCATACGTTGACGGTGAGCGTGGTGTTCCTGATGGTCTTTGCAACGGATCGTCAATGTGAACGGGTGCAGCGATTAGATTTCAGGTGGAAACAGATTTTGCTCAATGAACGAGAAAGTTTTAATACTGCTTACCTCGTAAACAAAGTATTGTTGGCCAATATACTACCACAAGCTGCAGGCAAGTAGAGAAAAAACTAGACACGATTTCAAATTTTTAGCTCATATCCAATGCTTATCACAAAGCTTATTGACTTGAAAACACTAGATAACTCTGAAAGTGATAATCAAAGTAATTCAAATATATTGCAAAACAAAGAAAAACTTATAAACAAATACATTTATCTGTTTTCTTTGCTGAAACGTCAATTTATTAAATCTGATTTGATTTCAGCGAACTATTTCTTAGACCCAGCCCAAAATATGGGCGAACTATATTATGAAGAACATCCAAACGTTGCTGTATTATTTGCATCCATAACAGACGCAGAATTGGTATCAGGTAACTTATTTTGGACTTAACTTCCATTAACTTATCGAATGTGATATTTGATATTTTATCTAACAATTGAAATATTACTTATTAGGTGAAGAAGTTGCTCAACTATCGGAAAAAGGTGTTTTGGGAGTACTGAACACTATAATTTGTGCTTTTGATACGGTAAATATATCAATGTTAAATTTATATTTATTAGTACTCTCTACTGTACTAGGCAGAATAAAATTATTTTGTGAAATGATATATTATAGTACATACCTTTATAGAAGATGTATATTATTATAGAACATAATTGGATAAATAAGTTTAATAATTGCAACTAGATTTTGTAAGTGCCTTCTGACTTCAATATATATAAATATTTTATGTGTTTGCAGCTATTATTTCAAAAGCGAAAATTTTCAGTGGAGAAAATAAAAATGTCAGGCTGGACTTATATGGCGGCTTGCGGCCTGCGCAAGGAGGAAAATCCAGATGAAGGCGTGGTTCTTGTTTTGGCTGAATTTGCATCTGATATGATTAGCGCTCTCCGCATAGAAAATCGATCGACATTTCAAACTTTCAAACTTAGAATAGGTAACGAATTATTACTTACATTAAAAATTTTATTATCTTCTAAATGTATGCATTTGAAAAGATATAAACTATGAACTTGCTGAATAAAAAAATTGAACTTTCAGGAATAGATTACGGAAATGCAACTGCCGGAGTGGTCGGTGCAAAAAAGCCGCTTTATGATATATGGGGTCACGCAGTAAATATGGCTTCAAGATTAGATACAACAGGACAAGCTGGAAAAATTCAGGTAAAACACAAAAATTCAGGTGCAACCTACCATATATTGAGTGTTCTCTCTCTCTCTCTGATGTTAATTAGGATTTTTTATATATTGAAAATATTTTTTGAGAATAGAATAGAATTAATTTATAAGAAAGGGCAATGAGAACTTAAGATATAATAGAATCAAATTATAAGGAAGGGTGATATACAAAACTTTAAAATATATACTATATTTGAATTTTAACACTTACCTAATTATTAAACGTTTTGACTGTACTATCAATAATCAATTAGCATCCATAATTAAATTTTTCTTGGGGTCTTCTAATTACTGGCAATATTTACTAAATATTATATGATTTTATAATATGATTGTCTAAATGTTTTTCCAAAGAAACTTCTTAGAAATAAAGGCAAGTCATATTACATATATGAACTATAATAATACCATGAATTCTATTTCAGGTGAACCAAAGGACGGCGCAGATATTAGCCCGGCATGATGTACAGTGCGAATACCGTGATGAAATATTTATAAAAGTAAGATTATCTTCTAAAATATTGATAGAATTTCTGTATTAAAATTATTACAGAAATTTATTTATTTTGCAGAAACTATTAAATACTTGACTATAGACTATGCCATATTAACAAACAAAACTCTATTTTTGCACTATTTATTAAGTATTTTAAACTTAAAAACGTTTCTCCGCTTGTCTCATCATTAGTGTAATAATTTTAAATTAAATCACTAAAACATAAACCAAAACATTCGTGTTCTCTTAGTGCACAAGACTCATGATTCTAAGACAATCCTAGAGATGATGAGACAAACTGAGTCACGAAATGTTTCTAAAATTTAAAATACTTAATATAGAGTACATAAAAGAGCATTGTTTGCTCATATTTAATAGTTAATTTGATATATATATATATATATATATATATATTTGATATTTATATATATATCAAATTATTTTTGGTATATAAGTATAGGGTGTCTCTTGATTACGGATTCAAAGCTTAATGTAACAAAATTAATAAAACTAAACCATAGCAACCAAAAAATTTTTATATTTTAGGTTGCATCTAAAAGCTTCCAATTTTCAAACTACTTGAGATATTTTTTATTCTAGTTTCTTGCATGACTATCACCCCGTTTACATATATATATATATATATATATATATATATATATATATATATATCTATATATATATATGTGTATATTAAATTTTTTATATAATTTTGATGTTGAAATATGTGATATTCAGTTTTCAGGGCAATACATCAATTAAAAAATTTGTATGACTTTAAAACATTTTTATTTATTCCATACGTTTCGACACATTGTTTTGTGTCATCTTCAGTGGACTCTAGATTGAAAGAACAGATAGAAATTATTAAATAAAACTAATATATAAGAAGTGATATGGTATGAACTTACATGTAATTGAATTAATCCTAATTATTTCATATTATAAATGTTCACAATGCACAATCCTAATATTTCATATTCACAATGCATCCTATATTTCATATTATAAATGTTCACAGTGCACTAAAAAACAATCCTTGTCATTTTAAGTTGAACAATATATAAATTTTTGACTGAGATTTTTATGAATTTGTGAAGTACATCACGCCGTACATTTCTGTGCTCCGATGTACGGGTGACTACTGAATGTACGTCAATGTGCGAACCACATGTTGAGGGCTAAGGTACAAGGCAAACGAACTGACCAAAGAATTTAAGATTTGACAACGCGAGAGGGTACATATAGTGAAATATGAAAACATGACAATTGTGAGGGTGGACATAATTAGTAAAATTGAGATCAAAATTAAAAGAAAAAGAAAAAGAAAAATTGGCATTAAAATTAATATAATTAAACGTCGATCATGATAGGTAACTATTTTAAAGGTATGAATTTCGAGACATTGTTTAAGACTACTTGGTAATTCTCGCACAGTGAGGAAGTATCCAATCTTTTGTTTAAACTATTTTTGTAAAGGTGTATCAGACAAGATTCTGAAAAGCGTCTCTGAGATGTATTCGATTCGTGATATAAAATTGTGGCCACATCAAAATTGAAAATATGATTGAAACTTTGTATGTGGTCAGTTATCATTGTTTGATTTTGATTTTTATTTTTGGAATTGTTATAATGTTGTCTAAGACGTTTTTTTAGATGTTGTCCAGTTTCGCCAATATAAGTGGCCTCACAATTTGTACAGTCAATTTTATACACGATGTTAGAAATACGATCTAAACTTGTCGGTGATTTTAAGTTCGAAAATAAAAAGTTGAGAGTCTGATCAATATTGCAAACTAAACGCAAATCCGCGAATTCAAATAGTTTTTTCCAAATAGGAAAGAGATTTTTAATGTAAGGGAGACAAATAGTGCCAACAAATATATATATATATATATATATATATATATATATATATATCTAAAAATTGCTCACTAATCAAACTAAATGTCGGGTGTGTGACTGTGTTCCAACATTTTTTGTCTAATAAATTATTAATACGTGGCTCTTGATTACAAAATCATACAATAAAATAAATAATATGATAAAAATTGTAATTGATTGTCATTAACAAGTTTATTATATATTTGCTTTTAGTATCTTAATCAAATAAATATGATTTTAATTAAACCAACTTGATAAAGTAAAATGGAGTTAATTAAATATAGCTTCTCAAAAGTTATTAAAGTTTTACTACAATCAGTTTTTAATAACTCAATATTTTAAAGTATTTTATTTAGTAATATTATTTGGGTAGTTTTATCGGTTGTTTATTATCTCATATTTACATGTTTATATTAACCATTTAGGGAAAAGGAATGACTACAACATACTTCGTAAGATTGGGAGAAAACGACAGACTTCTGAAAAAGCCATCTGCAATTCCAATACAACCAAATTCATACGTAAAATTTGAGGAAACTACTGAAGAAGCCACGAAAATGTAAAAAGAACTATTTAAAAATAGACAAATAGAATTATACATTATTAAACATACATAGACATACAAAGAATTGGATTTCCTAACAGCTATAATTATATATTAGGTTGAAAATAATATGGAAAAGAAATATTTATAAATAAAGTTGAATAAATAATACTCACTTACGTATACACATTCACATAAAATTCATTATGGCCATATTTTTTTATGAATTTGGCGACAGTTTTCCTCTTTTTTTTGTAAAAAATTATAAGTTCAATAGTATTTTATAAAAAATACAAAAATTGGTTATATTTATAACAAAAGCCAGCAACTGATCATATAATGTACATATCTTTATAATATAATATCCAATATAATATAATATAATATAGTCATTTTTTTATCCAGTTATGGATCCAGAAGTATGACTCTATGAACTTTTATTTACGAACATAAATATAATACAATTTAGATCATCAATAAATGTAAATAATGTAGTAGTAGTCATATAATTTTCAATCAAAAACACGAAAATGAATAAATTTATTTATTTTGTAAATACATTTTATAACTAAATATAATTAGATTTATTTGTTCCAAAAATTAGTTTTTATACCTTAACTATGATTATAATTACATAAAATTAATTAACATATGACATGTTAACGTGTATCGGAAAATAGATTTTTTTCAGACAAAAATCATTATATATTTTTCTAGTTTTATACAATGACTAACAATTTCAGCTATGACAGAATATAATTTATTGATTATATTAATTTATAATTAAAAGTGGACTAATTACATGTGCTACATCATGTTTGTGCAAATTAATATACAAAGGTACAAATATAAGCAATCATTTTATAATATTAGATAATTAAATTAAAGCAAATGCTATTTGTTATAAAATAAAATGCTATTTGTTAATCTAGTCAATTAATTATTAGAAAAATACTACAATTCGCTTTTTGCTTGTTTTTGAAGTTTTAATTTGATCATATTTTTTATCTTGTTTCTCATTATTTCTTTTTTGATTTCAATGTCGTCTTGATGTTTATAGTCATCTTTATGACTTGAATCGAATTTCAAAATCTCATTCTGTCCTTTGAATTTATGCACTGACATCATCAAACTAATATTTTTGTGTGCGTGATCCTTAAACCATTGGGGGTTTATATAGCTTCCTAGCTGCTTACTGTAAATACCGTTGGATTCATTCATTGCTGAGTAAGACTTTGTAAGACTTTTTTCAGATGAACAATCATAATATAAGAAGTCATATTCTACGTCCAGATTATGTTTAACTTCACGATGCAATAAATTATTTTTTAATGTTTCTTTTATTTTTATTGCTTGTGATATTGATTTATTATTTCCAACCTCGTGTTCAGTTTCCGAAACCAAATGTAATTTGCTACCTTTTATAACCGAAGCTACCGATGCAGTCATTTTATAAGCCATCATAACTTTTGTTTCTTGAATGTGTGGAGTAGTTTTCACAATAAAATCGCCAATTTTTTCCTCAATCGTCTTACGTATTTCAGTAACTGTGGCTGCATGTACTTCTTTCACTCCAGTAGTCAGTTCATCTTTGAATTCATATTTTTTTCCATGATGATATTGTGCAAAAATTCTACTAATATTTTTATTTATTTTAGTATAATCAATGATGCGTTCACTAACTATCTCCAAAACTTTCGATAGTGTACTTGATTCACAACATACAGTTTTTATCGACGAAAAAACGGTTTCTTCTTCAATATTTGGAATACTTTTTCTAGTAAAGTCCGAACTGAGTATACTTGAAACATTCTTAAGACTTTCCATTTCATATCCATCCAAGCTATGCGAAATTTGATCTTCTTTTATGCTAATTTTATGCATTTCTGAACTTTTAATGCCATAATCTGGGGATACCAAGTCAATTCCAAATTGATGTTCACTTAAAGAATTCTTGTCAACAAATATTGCTGCAGTTTTTGATTCTTCAATTGATAAAACCATTTTTGTTGTAGTTAAGATATTTGGCTTTCCAGAATATGATGTTTGCAATGTCACCATATCCAGCATAGGATGTTCACTTGAAAAAATCTTGTCAACAAATATTGCTGTAGTTTTTGATTCTTCTGTTGATGAAATCATTTTTGTTATACTTAACGCACTTGTTTTTCCAGAAAATGATGTTTGTAATATCACCACATCCAGAGTATGATGTTCACTTGATGAACTTTTGTCAATAAATATTGCTGTAGTTTTTGATTTTTCTATTGATGAAATCAGTTTCGTAGTTGACCCACTTAGTTTTCCAGAATATGATGTTTGCAATTTAACCATATCCAGAATATGATGTTCACTTGAAGAATTCTTGTCAACAAATATTGCTGTAGTTTTTGATTCTTCTGTTGATGAAATCATTTTCGATGTAGTTACTGCATTTGATTTTTCAAAATGTGATGTTTGCAATATCACCACATCCAGAATATGGTGTTCACTTGAAGAATCCTTGTCAACAAATATTGCTGCAGTTTTTGATTCTTCTATTGATGAAATCATTTTTGTTATACTTAACGCACTTGGTTTTCCAGAAAATGATGTTTGCAATATCACCACATCCAGAATATGATGTTCACTTGATGAACTTTGGTCAACAAATATTGATGTAGTTTTTGATTCTTCTATTGATGAAATCATCTTTGTTGTAGTTAACGCATTTGGTTTTCCAGAATATGATGTTTGCAATGCATCAAGCAAATTGGATTGAACAATTTGATATTGGTAATCAGGTAATCTGCTTAAGGTTTCTTTTGGATAAATTATTTTGTAATCATTTATTGTTTCAATTGGTGTCATGGTGCTTGATATATAATCAGTAGGTGATTTGAGTGATGTTAACCCGTAAGTCTGCCCAGCTATGAGTACTCTCTCTGTAATTATTTCTATTATGTCTGTATCGATAATTATGTGGGATATTTTATCCGATCCAATGGTTTTATTTAACGGGATTTGTACTGTTGAAGATGGTGATTTAAACAAACTATCCAACTGTACATTGAATAAAACTTTAGAACCAATAGCTTCTTCCACAATTGGCAGTACGGTAGTAGCAGCTACTGAAATACTTTGATTTATATGAATAATTTGATGATATATCGTTTTACTAAAAGTAGTAGTTAAGTGCTCTGATATCGCTGGAGATGCTGCTGAAAATAATGTAGATGCCTCCGTTATATCAAATTTTCCCATATCAGTTACAAAGATTTTGGTGACTTTTACAGTTAGCCCTAATGATTGATTGGAAATACTTACTGCATCTGCACTAGTTAATTCATTTATTATTTTGATAGTTGAAAGAACTGTATTTCTAGAATTTGTGAATGATAAATTAGAAACTAATATTGATTGTTTTGTTACTTTCAAAATATTTATAGATTTATCAGTGCTCTGTATTTCATTTTGATTTTGAGTAGTTATTGTATGATTGACAATTGGTTCAGGTGCTAGTGTTTCCGTGACATCGTTTATAATAGCAACAATAGAAATATCAGACATTATATTAGAAAATAAAATAATTTTGCTCATATTTTTTGTATAATTTGCTGTGTCTATTGGAGTCATAGTTTCAATAGTTGATGTCTGTAAATCTTTTGTAGTTTCTATAATACTAGTAAAGTTTTGCATTCTCTCTGGAGATTTATATAACATTACATTGGTTGTCGAATTGAGCATGTCAATATCTAAAGTCCTATTTGTCAACATAAAATTTGTTTCATGATCAAAGGTAATTAATTTTACTACATAAGTTTTCGGCATTGTAGTGAAGGAAGAAAACATATTAACGGTAAATGTTGTTTCACTGAATTTATCAAATACTTTACTTGGTGATTTAATTAAATTAGAGCTATCGGAAGCCATTTTTGGTGCAGATTTAGATATAGTCATCGAAGACGACTGCGCCTTCTTCATTTCATAATCTAAAATAATATTCTCAGATATATTCAATATTGATAATTTACTTGTTATAACCACTATTGAAGTTATTTCATCTAACATTCTCTCAGTAAAAATAACGTCATTTGGTTGAGTGTTTAAATCATTTATTGTGATCTTCATACCATCAAATTTCTGTGATGTTTCAACAATTTTTTCATTATCTATAAAATCCAATCCTATTGTTTTTATTCCGATGAATGCCAATACTGTAGAAGAAGATAATGAAGCTCGCAAAATATTTTCTGCAGTGGTTATTTCATAAAAGATCCCTTCTTTTGATGGGCTTATATCGGAAGCTTGAAGAGACACCAATTTACCAGCTGGAATATAATTTGGCATGTGAAAAATTTTCACGGGTGTTGTATTCATGCTTACTGAAGTCCTATGCATTAAATGATCTTCTGATATAGTAGATGAAGTTGTTATATTAATTAAATATGAATTAAAAATAAAATTCACAGTAACAGCAGTCGATTTGTTAGTTTTTAGACCTATAGCTTGTTCATCGTGGATCACAACATATATTAATTTGTTTGGAGATATTGTAAATGCTGAAATAAAATTTGAACCTTGTGAAGTTTCTGTTTGTACTTGAATTTGAGTAGTTTTTGATTTTGCAAAGAACTGACTTATAGTTATCGGAAATCTTTCTGTAATCTCTACATTTTGAGATCCACTAGATTCCATTTTTATTCCAGTGCTATGCATCATTGAATTAGATGTCATTTTCCATTCCACCATTTCATTGATTGTTACTCCAACTCCAGGAGTTTTCACTAAGATATCTTGCGATTTGATAGTGAAAAATATTATAGTTAATTGCATATTTTGTGTATAATCCATGATATCGGTAGTAGAAGTATTTCCAATTAATGCAGAAGTATATCTATCAGCAATATGGTCTGTTGTTGTCGAATGTATTTGAGTAGTTTCAAGTTGTACATAATTACTTTTAACTTCATGCATATTCTCTATTTCTAATTTCACATAGTATATTTCATTCGGCTTATTTAGTAATGAAGTATCTTTTTGGAATGTAAAAATTTCAAATTCATTTTCTGTTCGGAGACTTGTATTTTTTATAT